CAATGTGTGCTCCCCCTGGTGGCCAGAATGATACTTTCAGCTTCCCAGTTCAAGCTAATCATATTTCAACTTGTTTGCCAAAGAAGCGTTTTATTTTTTATGTTTCACAAGTTTCAGGCTCCAATTCAACTTTTTAAGAAGTCAGTTTCTTTCCATTCATTTAAATATCTTGCTTACTTTTCATCCAAGAGATTGTTGTTAAATCTAGTAATTTTTGTTTTGTTGTTTGTTGCTTGGGGTAAAATAAAATCTTACAAAGCTAAAACCACATCCACAAATGACTGAAAGAGACCCTGAAAGTTAAAATTGTGAGGTCTATATAAGAAATGACACTGCAGATAATCCATCAGGTCAATATATTTCACCAGAGAAAAAGGAAATAAGACGTTACAGTATGGAAATGTAATTTAATAGCTGAATGAATACTTATCTGCCTATTTCATCCTTAAGAAGAAAAAGGAAAGTGAAGGCAACCCAGGTGGTTACATTATAATGCAGTCGAAATTCCATCACCCATGAAAACTGCAATTGGGATTCCACTTTTGGATTCGGCCGGCCAGAAACAGATGTGTGTTCCAACAAGAATCACAGGCTGCATCTCCTGGACAAGAGCTCTTTAGAGTGCAGCAGGAGTTTCAACTGGTTTTAACTCCAAAGAAAGGACTAGACTAAACTGAGTATAATTGTTCCAAGTGTTTAGAATTCCCAAGTTGGACTGGGGCTAAATGTGTGGTTCTCATTTTATGGCCTTGAAAAAGAAGACAGTGTGATTCTTCCTTGTTCTGTTAAAAAAGAAAAAAAGAAAAATTTAAGGTTGAGATACAAAGGTTTGGCTAGAAATATCTCAACCATAGGACATTTCTTCAGTGAGTCAGGCTGTGGTTCAGACAGCAAGGTCAAGGTGAAAACCAAATACCACTTTGTGCATAAATCTTGCTCATTAAAAGAAGGGACTCAAATGTTTCTTATTATATAGACTGTCTGGATGCACGATCCTTTCAACTGAGTTCCTCGGGCACATTCTAGCAAGATTCTAAATTCATATCATCCAGCATTACATGGGGCAGGTAGAGTTTCTTTTGAAAAGAAACCCAGGCCAATGTAATCCTAGCTAGGGAAGCTGATGCCAGGAAATCTACAGTGTGCTTTACCGAAACCACAGTTCAATTAAATAAATTCCATCCTTCTTACCAGGAGTCAAGAAACACACAAATGGCAGAAATACAGTTGTCAGTGAGTGGGGTTCACTCGTCAGGAGGTTAATTCCACATGGATTTTAGTAAATTGAATTTGGGATAGGTTAAAAAAAAAAAATACTTGTGCCAGTATTGAAAATCTAAACTTTATTTGTAGCCGGTATTTCTTCAGACAAAGTTTTGCCACACCCCTCTGCCTCCATGTCTCTTTCCTGGCCCAGAGAGACTGACTCCCTCCAAAGGAGAGGAAACCTTCCCCTCACATCTTCGAATGCCTTTCAGTGATCTGTAGAACAACTCAGGGCATATTCAAGAAGGGCAAAACTTCATGCCTCTTGTTCCTCAATCCTCCTTTCCTTTGGTTTGTTTTCCTTACTTCTTGCCAAAAAGCAGCTACCTTTGGCAGGGAAGTTACTACAATCCATTGCAAGTACTTCCTCCAATAATGAACACAACAAATCCTGTCTTTATTCATTTAAAGCACGAAGCTGGCCCTCTTTACAAATACCCTGTTTTTAATAAATCCTTGGTAATAAACATCCATTTACGAGAATAAAGTGGATACATTGGAGCTGAAGCTGGTGGTACACAGAGCAAATCTTCAGCTCATGTCTGCGTGTGTGCACAGCACAACTCATTAGGGTGCCCCTTTAAATAACACATGGACAGAAACAGATACTTTCCCGCATGCATGTTTTTCCTGGAAAGATTCACAAAACACTGTAACAGCATTCACCTTTAAGAACAAAGATAAGAGTAGGAAGAACTTCCACTTTTCATTTTAATGTTTCTGTACTGCTTGAGTTTTTTAGTGATACACATATATTATTTCTATTCTTTCAAAAAATCAGAGGGCTATTGAGTGATTATGTCTTTATTTTGGGGGGTTACATCTCTATATTTTTCTTCAAGAAAAAACTTATTCTCAAATTAAAAAAATGAAAGGCAAAGACAAACTGTGTTTAGGGAGTGATTGTTTCTCAAATTATTCTACCTGACGTGGTGCTGCATAATTTTATTATGAGCTCTCAATGCCTCCACAGATCCATATGAACAAAGAGCAAAAGTGCAATATTCCAATGGGATCTTTTGGAAAATATTTAAATTCTGGGTGTCCCACCAACCTTACAAGTGATTCCTCTAACTTTTGTTAAAAGATAAGCAAAATTGTCTCCAAAGAGGTGAAGCCACACCAGTGCCAGTCTTCCTACAGGGCAGGTCACCGTGTGCATTACTGCATTGAAGGCTACATTTCACAGACAGGCTCAGAGAGGTCCCAGTCCCCTGACACATACAGTGGAGCAGAGATTTAAGCCAAGTTCACTGAGACATTCTGTGATCCCCAGCCACGAGAGAGGGGGTATGTCCCTCCACACGCCACATGAAATGCCAGAGCCTGCTGGCTCTGAGACGAAGGCTGCCTATCCTCTGTGAATGCTCGCCCCAGAGCCAGGGAACTCAAAGACCCGCCTCCAGCCACAGGATACAGGGAACAAGAGGCAGATTTGAAAAATGCCTTCCTTTGCAGGTGGCACTTAAAACACCGGTGCTTTGCATCCATCCTGGGGCGCATTTCCCAGCTCTTCTCCCCCAGAACCCTGATCAGCTCAAACACAGAAGTGGGCCATAGCAGGGAAATGAGGATGGTGACAACTCAAAGGTAGAAGTTGTCATATAGATTCTTCTCATTCCTTCAGAAAAGGATGTGATGTCTTCCTCCTGGCCTGAGAAAACCAGTCCTTCTCCAGGCATCACAAATGGGTGCATGAAAATTCTGTCCAGGATGTCACAACTGAGCATGCAATGCTCATATAAGCACAAGGAGACACGCTGAGAGGATGGGGGACTTGGGAACATACTTCTTTGTCATACTTTTTTCCTATTATCAGTATGACTAGCTCTTCTAGAGGATATGCTGCCATGGAAGACTGAGGACCTCAGTCTCAAAGGCCAAGTCTCAATCCTGCCTCTCTGATGAGATAGTGTCACCCAGTTTCCAAGGACAAGCCCACTAATTCATACCTTGCTATGTGGTCTAGAGAAAATAAATCAAATCTCTAGCCATCACTAACACTGTCTACAAAATGAAACTTTAAAAAAAAAAAAAAAAGACAAGAGACTTTGAATCTGAGAAGAAGAGTCTCTCTAGGAAAAAAGTAAGTACTGTTTTATAATTGATACCTTCAACAGGTACTATCACAAAGAGATGCAATAAAAACAGTTTACCACTGGTCCCCTAGGTGGGTCCAGTGCACACAACAAGCAGGCAGCTCCACTCACAAACAGCAACTTCAATTCAAAAATCTCTTCCAACAGTTTTAGAAAGTCAAACAGAGAGAGGGGAAAAAAAAAAATTAGCCAGAAGCCCCTTTGTAGTGCAAACCCCCTAGATTACTTGGTAGCCTGGGATTGTCTTCTTTAGCTTTTAGAATACTAGAAATGTTCTGAAGAAATCCTCCATTCTGGCTTATTGCCTTTTGCCCATTTTACTCTTTTCAGAATTAACTGCATTTTAAGATGATTTCTGCATATTTCCTCTCTAGCTCAGTTTCTCAGGGCCCATCCCTTGCGAGGGAAGAAGAGGCTCCCCACCCCATTGGCAAATGCCTTCCCCATTTCCATTTCGCTTTCTCTTCCACTTCTTGACCACCCTGGAATGCAGGTGCTCCTGAGGAAACCAAGAAAATTATTTCCCTTGATAGTGTTCATCCTGGAAACTCAGGGGAGAGAGTAGCTGCGGAGTAAGAATTCAACACTCTGCACTCAGAAACAGACTTGCTCACCTCACCACACACCTTTCAGATGCTTTCCTTTATTCAGAGGCAGCCACCTTTAACAGGCGATGTCAGGCTCTCGCCAGGGATATTGCTGTGACTACAGAATTGCATTATGTCCAGGGTCCCACCACCAGCTCACCTAACTTGGAAGCAGTTCACAGCTCTTGCAGCTGGCTCTAGAAGACGCTTTCTGGGTTGTTTTGTTTTGTTTTTAACCCTCATCCCTTGCAAACCAGAAGTCCAAATGAACCTTTGTACCTGGAAGCCGTTTGTGGTTTAAATTAACAAATGTGCTGACCCCTGAACACCAAAAAGTGCTGATGTGTTTACCATTTGTTTGATTCCCTGGCAAGCGTTTCGAGTGGAGGGATGGGAGGAGACACCTGCAGGACATCCAGTTTTCTAAGCACAGAAAACGCCAACAACCCCTGTGCTCCCTACTCCTATCCCAGTCTTCTTTGGGGTGACATCATCTCAGAAGGGAAGAGAAGCCCGGCGGCCACTGGGCTCTGAGAAAACAGATTTCCAGACAATATACTGCGGGGATCGAAGGCAGAGGACAGTTCATGGAGGATTTTTTAGGGTTTGTTATTACAAAAATATATATATAAAATAAAGGCTGTGGCTTTTCTGTCCACTTCCTAGGTTTGAGCTCCCCTCCATTAGGGCTGGGGGTCTCAGAGGAGTGAAGGCTACAAAGTCCCAGGTGCCAAAGAAGGGACTGTCACCGAGATGGCTCTAGGGCTCTTAGGGACTGAGGGAGGGTTGGGGAAGCAGTAAAACAAAGGGAATTGGGGCCCTTGACAGTAGAGTAAGAGAGAGAGAGAGGGAAAGACGGGGATGGACCAGGAAAAAGGGCTGAGAGCATATAGAGGAGTAGATAGAGGAGAAGGGGAAGGAGCGGGACTGGAGCAGAGGTTGGAGCAAGGAGAAGAGAGTGGAAGGGCAGAGGGAGTCATGGAAGGTCAGGGAAAGCCGGGGGTGGAAGGGAGGGAGGAAAGAAAAGAGAAAGGGAAGGAAGGGAGAGTGAGAAAGAAAGAGAAGGGAAGGAAAGAGGGAGAGAGGCGAGACGGAGACGGACAAGAGAGTGACAAAAAAGAAATCTGAGGCTGGCAGAGCGAGGGAGGCCACGTCAGAGCAAGGATTGTGAGGAGGGTGCAACAGTCTAAAGCCAAAGTTAAGAGAAGCCTAAAAACCCAGGCCAATAAAGGAAGTGTGGTGGGTCCGGACAGAGGCAGGGCTGGGCCTGGGGGCTGGCTGGGCGTGCACCCCGGGGGCCGGCGCTGGCTTCCTCCGCCTCCGCCGCTTGTCCTCCGGTCCTGCCCGCGCAGCTTGCCGGGGCCGCTGCGCAGACCTGTGCGCCCGGGTCCGCCTGCCGTTCCCTCCAAGCTCGGGTCCGGGGAGAGCTGCCCCTAGGAGGTCGAGGCCGGGATGGGCAGTCCGTGTAAGCTACTGAGGGCGTCCGGGGCCTTGCTGCCGGGGCTGGGAGGCTTCCTGTCAGCCACTGCGGGAGGAAGCACAGGGGCGTCGGATCACTGCCTAACGCCGCTGCAGGGCGAGCGGCACTGGGACTCGACGCCGGCAGAGCGAAGTCGTGCGCGCTCAACCCTTGAAGACTCTGGAAGAGGGAAGCAGAGACTCGCACTCTCCAGAGACCCCAAGCTTCCGTGGGCGACCAGCCCTCCCTCTCCCGCTAGGGGAGCCACTTGCAAGGACAGCCTTGGCAAGCGGGACTCCTCGCAAGGCCATTTGCAAACACTGACCGCTGGCTGGGTGCAATTCCCGTTGCCTTCCAACCCCCTCACCACCTGCTCAGTAAAGGAAGTGAAGGGCGCAGAGGGCTGGGAGGGTTTCAGGTCTGATGGAGACTTCCGCAGAAGGGAGCGGGACTCTAACGTTGCGCGGACCCTCACCCTTTCCAAACCTCAGGCGCGCGCACAAGTGCGAAGGGCAGCCACAGCGTCGAGTCAGCTGACACCCGTGGCTCGGAACTCGCTGTGGGCAGGGGGAAATCGTGCGGGAAATGAGCCACCAGAGATTCCCCTGGAGCGGCCTGGATTCCTCCGACACAGGAGGCAGTTGGGCTTTAAGTGAGCGGCAGACTTCGTTGTGCTCACGAGGTCCGGGGATCGAGATGCGCTCACCACTGTGGGCACAGCACGTCCTGGGACCTGTGGGCCTCCGGATTAAGTGACAGTGGGATGGCCAGATCGGGTGGTATTCTGCGCTTTACTCTATTATTTGGGGGTTTGGGAAGGGGCCCAAGTTTTGCTACTGGAAGCCAGAAAGTGACGCCACGATTGCGCAAGCCTGTTTTTCCTTTCCCACCCTTGGGCCACTCTGCTTCTCCTACAACCAGGATCCACAGTTTGTTTATACCTACAGGGGCCTATTTTCAATTTTCTTTTTTCCCTAAGTCCTCCTTTAAAGAGGGAGCTTGGAGCGCTTCAATTTGCATGAGGGGAACTCTGGATGTTTTTTTCTCCTGCAACTTCCCTCGCCTCAGCCTCAGGCGCAACTTGCTGTGGCTGCGCAGAGCTGGGCCAACCACTTCTGTGCAAGACACACACACCCACACACAAACACACACAAACACACACAAACACACGGTTTCGCTGAGATTTTAAAGAGGTCTAAAGACCTTCCCCGGACAGTGGCCCCTCTGCTTTTCCCTGGCTCTCAGCTCTTTTTTCTAAACATATTTGTGGCCGCCCAGCCAAGTATTCAGACCTTTTCTTTCTACCCTGGACACACACTTCAAAGTGAGGACCTGTTTAGAAAACATCTGAGGAGGAGGAGGTTTCTCAGCCAAGGGACGGTTACCTTAGAGACAAGCAAGAAACTGAACTCATGAAAAATAAACACCCAGGACAACTGCATCCCACCCTATAGGGGCGAATCCTGCTGTGTTTTTAGCCCAGTCCAGACCATCCTTCCTCATAGGGCCCCTCCTGCCCTCCATTCCCTCCACAGGACAAATGGGTGGGTACTTCTGGGCCCTCGGAGGCCAGGGCCTGGGTCAGGCTCATTTAATTCAGGGGCTAAGAAGGGGAAGAGGCATTTTTGTAATATTCAACTGCAATTGCAGGGCACTCTGGGACCACCGTTGAGGGGAAGGGACCCCTGGGGTTGGGTCAAATGAGGCTGCGGTTGGGAGCATCCGGGTGCCTGCGACAATGCCAGCGCCCTAGTGCTCCCTGACAAAGTTTACTTCTAGGATCCTCCAAGAACCCATCCCCAGGCAGAGGTAACTAGAGCAAAGCTGCAAGTTATCTTTAACAAATATAAGCAATACATTTTCTTTGTGAGTATGCAATATCTTATAGATTTGATTTCCAAATCTTGAGTCATTCCAGAGCCCCACAGGGAGGGACTTAAAACCCTGAGGTTTCTAGGGTCTCTGGATACACCCTGTAAATACCAGCTGTCTTGAGGGAACATCTGGTGGTGTCTGCCACCTAAGAGTGGGGAAGGGGAGATGGTCGTCCCCTGGCTGTGAAAAAGCATTTGAATGTGGTTGGAGATTCCTAGAATGTCAGCCTCTCCAAGTGAAGATTAAGCGAAACTTTTCCTATTCTTCTCAATTCCCAAAAATTAAAGTTTCCTTTCATGGGATGGGGAATGTAAATTATACTTTTTGCCTACACAATAGGAAACCCAGATTCACCACCTTTTAAAAAAAAAGAAAAAAATTATAGTATTAATTAAATAACACAATTAATCAATTAATATCTAATTTATTGCTAAATTTTTATTTTGACATTTGATTAAGTTTCACTTAGGGTAACTGTTAAGCTGTTCATTTGCACTAATTTGGAGGACATGTTGATATATATTGCACTGTATGTGTGTGTTGTGTATATGTGTTAGGTGATCAAAGGTATTTGCTTTTACTGAGCATTTATTAAATTAAATTGCTTTTCATTATACAGAAGAATTTTATCTTACTGAAAAGAAATTCAGTAAATGCTATTCTCACTATTCTTATGAATTGAACAATTGGTGATAGTAAATTGTCCTGTGGGACAGGTTTCTCTGAAAATATTAATTTCTTAAGAACTGGTCAGAAAATAAAAGGCAGTGATTTTTATTATTTTTCTGTCTTTTCAAAGACTAGTTGTGTTGAGGAAATAGATCTTTGAAGTCCGCTGTTCTACCAGTAAGGAGTAAAAGTCCATAACGCAAGTATGTATGTAATTCTCAGGCTATGAATATAGATAGATAATGAATGATTATTTCTACATTCCTGTTCAAACACAAACAATTGCATGCCAGCTTGAGAAATCATTACTAATGGTGTCCCCGAGTTATCTGATTATCTTTTATTAGAACCTTTAAAGAACTTGGAGGACCACAAAATTAAATTAACTTAATAACTGGAGTAACAAATTATTGCTGCAGTTTTTGAAAACAGGTAGGATATTACATAATAGCAAGCCAATATAATGGTAAAAGGGACTTAAATGCCAGCACTATTCAATGGCTCTGTATTTCTGAAAAGGAAAGTGTCTTCTAAAGAAAATCAATCACCAGTGAGGCTAAATGTTAAAATCAGCTTCCCCACGACTTCCACCTCAAATTAAATGAGAAGTAGTTTAGAATTAGGAACTGTGTGTGCTACCTTTGGGTTATTATCTGCACTTTATAATTTGTGTCTAATGTGGAGCTTAAAATGCCTCCAGGGCAAAGTGGCTCTATTGGAAAACAAATGCATTCCTCTGAAGACTGTGGGTCTTTTTTCTAAGTCTTCCTTCTCCGTAAGATGAACCCAGGGAAACATTTCAAATCTGTGGTTATACTTTTTAAATTCAAAAGAACCTGCTTATTTAAGCAACTTGTGTAATGTGGTACATTTCATTTTGATTTCGATTTTGGCAGATAACTTCAGTTGTTGAGAAAACAGGTTGATTGGAGGCTGAAGATGAGTGAAGTGCTCATCAGCGACCCCTTAGCTATCCTTAAATGTAAAGCTTAAAGGCGTTCTCACTCTCAACTTTTAACATTTCCTTCACTTGGATTTTTGTATAAATGAGCAAGTGATAGTATTCCATTTAAATTAAACCTAAAGTTTAAAAAAGCTCTAAATCCCAATTTTTATAAATTTTCCTTACTTGGATCTGTCTGTAACTAAGCAAGTGAACATTATCCTAATATCCCAGGATGTCTGTGCTCTAGGAAAGTTGGAAATAGAAAAGTATTTTTCTCCCTTCGTTTCACTGTTGTGGATGGCATCTTTATTTTCTTCCTGCCCCCATCCCCACCCCAGCTCCCCAGGGCATGCCCTCCTATCTTATCAAGACTACTTGGAAATAGCACTTTTTGCCTGGGCAGCACCAAGGAGGATGGTCCTCCTGTCCCCTGCCTGCCCACTGCCACCTGCCACTACATCCACCTGGCTTCCAGACCTGGACAGGTGGAGGCAAAGCAGCTAGTAAAAATCCTTTTATAATCTGAGAACACCACGCTGTCCCCCAGGTTTGTGCCTTATCCCTTTCTCTGCTGGGGCTGGGAGGCCCTGGGGTGACCCTTTCCTTTCCCAGGTTGGTTGAAGTTGCAAATTTCTGGTGCTCAGAACCTAAGCACTGGCAAGTTCGAAATTAGCAAATCAAGCCATTCCTTTTAACGACAAAGAGCATGAGACTCAAGGGCTGGTGAGCTTTTCCCAAGTGAAAGGAAAAACTGGACCCCTCCGGGCAGTGTGAGAAGATGCCCCTCACACTGCTGACTGTCAGTGAAATACCTAAAATCTCTTCCTTGACTTTTCAGGAAGCGGACTTATGGAAGAGGAAGAGGAGGAGGAAGCAGAAAAGGAGGCAAGACTACCAGGCACATTTTCCACAGAAAGAGAGAAACCCCCCCTCCCCCGCCACCCACCACCACCAACAACCACCACCACCACAGGAAGCTCCTGAGCCTGGAGTAAAGGACAATGATTCACATGGCCTCTACTTTCCCACAGTGTGTATTTAAGAAAAAGAATCCAAAGGCTCTTTTTTTTTTTCTTTAAGGAACCTGGGAAAAACAGATGGGCAGTGGGGCAGAGATGGGAAGGGTCCTGGGATGGAGGTCAGGTGCCACTAGCAAGTCCAACCCCACCTAAAGGGCTCAGGTGCTAGGACAGGTCTACAGAAAGGTGAGCCTGGAGGGTGCCTGCTAGACGTGTCCCTGGATGGAGAAACAGAAACCCAGAAAGAAGCAGGAATTTGGTCGAAGGCGCCAGAACCGGATCCAAACCCACGTGTCCTGTGTGCCAGAAGGACCCCCTTTCTCCTCTCCCCTCATAAGTGGAGGGGACAGTCTTGGGGCCAGTCTCTCTCAACCTCGAGTACTTTTGTAGGGACACCTGTCAGAACGAATCTGCTCCAAGAAGCTACAGGCATAACGGTTAACCCAGAGGAAGGGTTTATGCCCAGGACCCACCTCTTCCCCACCCGCTCTCCCTTTTCCCAGGCTCACACCCCCTCCCCAGTACCTTTCCTAACCCTTCCAGTATCCACCCGACCCCTTCTCTGCGCTCCTCACCTTCTCGGTTGGGATGCTTGAAGGTCATTGCTGCCGCGAGTTCCCCGCCGTGCACAGCTACGCCGGCCCCGGGGGGCGCCAGCGGAGGGCCTTGCGCCGGCGGCCACGGCGGGCCCGGGGCGAGGTAGCCGCCTCCCGGGGCGCTGTACACCCCGTGCTGGTTGGAGGCCGGGTAGGCGCAGGCGGGGAGGAAGCCGCCCACGGCAGAGAGGGTAGAGGCCGACTGTGGGGATAGAGGGGGACCGTCAGCAGCAGAAAATCCTGCCTTCTCTAGCCCACGCCATCACTGAGACGGGGGTTCTCACCCATTATCCCTCCCCCACGCCCTGTCCCCATCCATCAGCCCCATGAGAGGCCTGGCCTCTAAATTTCCTAGTAAGGACTCCTTGGCAAAGTGATTTCTAAGAATTCACTCAAACTGTTACAAATAATGATTTGAAGGGGTTATGGTGTTCATATCGGGATTTAGAGAAAGAAGGTCCTTGACTGTGGACCTGTGATCTGGAGTTCCTGCTTTTTTAGCTAAGGTATCTTGGCAAAGGCAAGTCAACCCCTCGAAAGTTAGACTCCCCCAAACTAGTACGCTTGAAGAAAGGACAAAAAGGATGCTTGCTGGCTGGCCTCCAGATACAACCATCTCTCTGCCTGGAAATTTTGTCTTTTCTTTCTCTCTCTTTTTCCCAACTTCCCCAAACCTTCTGCTTCCCTACTTAAGGTCACCTCCCGCACGGGCCTCCTGGTTACCTGAGTGTATTTAATGTCTGCCTCTAAGGCAGGTTTCTCCAGCCCATTCACTGCGGGGGTGGCGGGGAAGGCCGTGCGGTTCACACCGGCCCAGTCTTCCATCTTGGGAGAGTAAGTGGTGCCTTCGCTCCCAGCCAGGGCCCCTGCAGGGGACAGAGGACAGATTAGAAGGTGCCTCTGAATCTGCCCTGGGCACATGTGTGGCCAACCACCCAGCTTGTATCTGAAGGCAGGGCCAGGGTTCCCACAAAATTTGTAGGTGGCCTGACACTCCACCAGTAGACAGAGGGCGACAGGGACTGGGATGTTCACCACTCCGGGTGGGGCAGAGGAAAGGCAGCCAGGCCTGCTGACCGGTCCTCCTAGCCTTCAGCCCGCTTCCCACGAACGCCAGGCTGCTGCTGAGTCAAAGCCTGGGCAGACTCAGCCAAAGCAGCTGCTCCATTGTCTAGACACAGCTCCCAGAAACTTCCAAGTTCAAATCTACAGCAACCTCAAGAAAATTGTATTGATTTCTCAACATCTGCACAAGCCTCTGGAGGGCAGGGAGATGATTCTACCAGAACTGCCTCCAGAAACACCCAGGGTTTCCCAAAAGAAGTATCAACATTGTGGTCCCCGCGGGTCAGATAGAAGCAGACAGCTGCTCCCCGGGCCCTTGTGTGTGCCAGGAACCAAGGGAAAGCTCCAGATCTGCATGCAGGCTTGGTGGGGTCACCTCCCAACCAGCTGCCCACTGACATTCCATGGGAAGCTTTAGCCTCAGACTGGGTTAGAGCCACCCGGAGACACAAAGGGAGCGCAGGGCCACAGAGGCGCTGCTACTGCTGGAGCTGAGCACTCACAGTTTCTTTCCTCCTAGGCTACCTTGAATTTTGCTTCTTACCCTCCTCCTGAGTCTGCTCTCCTAAGAGTGTGCCATCCCCTGGCCAGCTGCTGGCAGCCAGGGACAGGACAAAGAAATCCAGACCGATTCTGGCCAGATTCTTTCCCCCTCAGGCATCAAAGTTGCCCCAAACTTCCCTGCCTTCCCCATCTTCCTCATCACCCATTTGACCAACAGTTTGTTGAGCTTTAATTGCAGATAAACGACAAATCCTTGTGAAGGTGGCTGCAGCCCCAGCAGCCATCACCCCAAACTCCAGGACCTGCAAGGCCACAGGGCCTTAGAGACGTAGGCCACTCAACCGACCACAAGATCCCTTTTCCTTTAACTCAGAAGAGCCACTGGGCCTGGGAGTGGGGGGCCAGAACCCTTGGGAAATTGTGACGGATTCTGAGAGCTAAAGAAAGCGTCTCAAAATTGCCTGAGCGTTTTTCCCCCCTTAGATTTGGCAATAGGGGTTTGCATACTTTTTGCAAGAATGAAAAAGCGCAATTTCAGGCCTCCAAATTTGTGGTTGGCGATTGCTCTTCCATTTGGGAAATATTTTCCATATTTGTCATAAAAAGTTCAAGATGTCCGAGGTCTCTGACAAAAGGCCCAGGACCCCCAGCCTCCCTGGCCAGTGTGGAGCTCTCCCCTGAGCCAGAACCTGTCCCGGGAGGAGAGCGAGTGTGAGTCCTCTCCTGCAAGCCTGCCCGCCCCAGGTTCAGCCCCTTAATAGAAGGCTACGAAGGCCGCCACGACTGACCTGTTTGCTCCATAAACGTCCGGATGCCCAGGATGTTGCTGACCGAGTGTGCCGAGGGCCATGAGCGCGGGATGCTGACGTGGCCCGCCGTGCCCGGGACCCCGGGGTGGCTGCCCATCTTGGCGCCGGTGGGCGACACGGGACTGGGGTAGGGGTACTGGTAGATGTGGTTGTAGGGCAGCGTAGGCTGCGACGGCGGCTGCTTACTTGCCTCGTACGGTCCGGGCTGCGCCAGGCTGCCGATCTTGTTGCGCAGAATGCGGCTGATGGAGCTCACCGAGGGCACATTGTACTTGTCACAGACGCCGTCGGCCAGCAGCCGGTCGCGGATCTCCCAGGCAAAGATGCCAGGGTCTCCCTGCTTGTAGTCCCGGATGTGCTTGACCACGTTGGGAGTGGTGACGCGGGGCTTGCTGCCCCCGATGGCCCCGGGCAGAATGGAGCCGGTCTCGTTGTAGCGCGCCAGGATCTTGCTCACGCAGCCGTGGGATACGCGGAGCTGCCTACTGATGTCACAGGGTCTGATGCCCAGCTGCGCCAGCTCCACAATGCGCAAGCGGATGGCGTTGGGCAGGGGGCGGCCGTTGACGAACACACCGCCCAGCTGGTTCACCTCGCCATACGTCTGCTCTGCGGATGCGCCAGACAACAGTGAGCAGGCAGGGAAGAAAACACCGGGCGGGTTAGCCCAAGGTCCCCACGCGGAGCGAGGGACTGCACCCAGGCGCACTTCCAAAGGGTGACCTGTGGGTCCCCAGACAGCTCGGAGTCCAAGGGCAAACCGCCTGGGTCCGGCTCGGAGTGGGCAAGGGCACAGAGGAGCCGCGGAGTGGAGCGCCGCGCAATGTAGCCCTCCGTGCCCTTTCGCGACTTTTAGCGCGTCTACTTGGAACACGCCCTTCCCAGACTTGCTGAACTGTCCCCTCCTGGGGACCAGAGGAGAATGTAGCTCCTCCAGGACCCAGGACTGGGTCGCCCAGGGAAAGCGGACTAGAGAGAACGGAGGCACACGGACCCGACCCACCTCATCAGCCCGCCCGCGCCTTGCCTGTCGCCCGCCCCTTACCCATAGCGCGCGGGC